CCCAATCAGTCATTTATAAATGAAGCTTCTCTGAAACCCAATCAGTCATTTATAATAACCCTCTATTTCCATTAGTCATTACGAACTTTTAAAACGTTTGATGCATTTTAATTAACCTGCGAAAAACTTGCCGTTACAGCTAATACATTAAAGCATATATTAAGAATTTTAAATCCACTGCTACATAAACTTTCATCAATAAAAAAAATTTCATTTTTTAATTTTCTTCTACTTTCATTTTTTAATTTAACGAATGTATTATTGCTTTTTGTTAAAAGACCAAACATTTAGTGCATAATTTAATTCCAAAATGCTGTTAAATATAATTTGTCTTAATTAGTTTTGGTTGAAGATTACGGCTAAAATATTTTCGAAGACTGCTTTCTTTTGGACATAAATTATTCGTTTCTACTAAAACTTATGAGTATATGGATTACTACTTGAGCACATAATCGATGCAAGATTGTAATATGTTTAAAAGTAACATCTTTAAGGCTGAACTCAATGCCCTTATGAAGCCAGGTTACATATAAAGTACTTTATATTTGATACGCAACTAATGCTTAAAGATGCTGCATCCTGAAAAATGCTGGTAACGCGAAAAATGCATAAACATTTCATTATCTCGTTATGGCATGACATTTCATACCTCATTTACTTTCTTTTGCTCTTTTATGCTAATGTATGGTAATTTATGTAAAATAACTTTTCCTGAATTCTGAACAGCTACTTTATCATTACTGAGCCAAGTCGTTTTTTTTGGTAGCTGTAAGAATGAATGAGTATGTTTGTGATTTATTTTATACATCTGTTTGCTGTTTGCAGAATTGGGAATAGATTTCATTCAGACAGATAGAGAAATCTTTTTGTCTGATCAGACAGCTCCGAGAAAACAATTCTTTTTCACAGACAACTAGGCATGAAGTGAATTGCTGTATATATGATGGGAGAAAATGTTCAAATATCAGTTTATCTTATAAGATTAAATACTCCCTTACTATTAATCTTTAATAATAATACTAAAATAATACTGAATTTTAAAGAGAAAATGCCTGAACATTCTTCCCATCTTTAAAAATATTACTGGTAAATTTATTAATAGTTTCTTCTTACTAAACATTTTCTTTTAATGTGTAAACTAACTTGTTTTCTGTTTCACAGGTTTCTCACACTTAAATTCAACTTTCGACTAATATAAAAAAAAGAGTATGTAAACCTGTATAGTCTCATTAGAACTTGTTCTGTATGGAAGTTGAATTGCTGATATTACGTGTCATAATTTCCAAATTATTTCAAATTTCATATATATACATATATGAATATAGTGCGTATAGTTAACGTGAGCATACGGAGACTTATGTAGAGCCAGCTGACGTATTTCTTTGTTGACATGTGGTATATACGTTATATGAACCACTGGGGAAAAAACATTAATAAAAATGTAATAGTTCAAATATCTAACATCGGATAAAAGTTGGTGCGTAAGAGACAAATTAGAAAGTACCGTAGACCTCTCTGTTGGATCAATCTTCATTTCTTGGTCTCTGTATGAAGTCCATCGCGAAGTTCGTGACTAAATATAATAAATAATACTTCAGTTTGAACTTGTAGTGCTTGTTTAAAATTGGCGTGACTGTTAAAAGTCATTGGGAATTCCTTTTCTGTTGGCAGATTTGAATGAACAAAAACTGTACGCGTGTTCTGTGCATTTCAAAAGGAGTGAACGCACGAAGTTTCAGTACGTAAAGGTTCCCGTTTAATTGGCCGGAAAACAGTTTTATCTCTAGACAACAAGTTACACATTTACAAAACCTTATTGCGTTCCATGCTGAGTTACACCTGCCCTGTTTGGGCATACTCTTGCAAAACAACCCGGAAGCAGCTTCACTTTGTATAGAATTGCATTAAGACGTATCACCAGCTACCCGTGATTTGTCAGAAATAATGCAATTAATGAAGAACTGGGCATAGCACAATTTCGTGCCCACTTCATCAACTGGCAGACAGTTTCTATTTGGATTTTAGGAACTCTAACAATAGTAACATTCATATTTATAATTATGATTGCCATTCTTAGATGTATGCGAAGTTTCCAGTGGACATCTTAAGTAATAATTTGTAAATGATTCATTATGTTTCTATATTTTGTTTCTTGCAGCCTTTCTTTTTGACTCTGTATTAATGTATTGTGAATGTTTCTTAAAACTGTTCCACTTGCTTATGTAACACCTATGTGCTTTGGTAAGAACCTTAAGTTGATTGCCTAAGAATGTTTAGAAGTAACCTCATGTCATCAGCTTATCACTACTTCTTAAATTTTATGAGCGCGACTATGTCCTTGTATTTCGTTTAATTCTCAAATGACTCTGCATGATCAACAATTATTCGGACTGTACACTATGTAGTCCGTTTCTACAGAGGTTGGACCTCGTGTCTGGTGCTAACATCACTTCTAGTTGCTCAAAAAAAAAAAAAAAAAAAAAAAAAAAATGCACGTACCTTAGTCTTGGGTCGAGTCTTGGTGAGAGCATAGCTCATTTTTCATGTCTCCTGCTTCAAAAAAAATTAACCTAATAACTCTGCAGAACATTTGTTAACAAAATTTAAAAACATTTTCAACAAAACAAAAAAATAAGCAAATAAAATACATTTTGAATTTCATTGAATATTTTATAAAACCTACACAAAGTGCAATAATCAAAAGAACACAAGGGAAAAAATTAAATTGTCGGCTACCAAAGTAAATTTGCTGATTGAAATATGTGTAAAATTCCCCACATAAACCTAGTCACGTGGGCTGATGTACAAACATACAGCGACAAGGCCGCAACCTATTCATTCGATCATTTACCCTTCAATAACAGTAGCGTATATAAGCTCAGTCCATACCTTTATATCTCTAAAATTATAAGCATCATACCTGCAACAAATTTATGATTAATATAAATTTGCGGGCAGCATAAAATTGCCTCAGGGACTGCATGCGTCCAGCGAACCACGAATTTAGAACTACTGCCTTAGGTCACCCAATCTAATGGAATCTAATGTAACTTACTGCAGTGTTTTTCGTTGTGAAAGAAACAGGTATTATACAGCTGTTGTTAAAAGGCGAAGGTTACTTTATGATTTCGCTTACTGGTTAATTATGACAAGAAGATGATTCGCTCTTAACAATTCACCAGCGAAACGTTATAGAGAATTTAATTTGCTATAGATTACGTTTATAAATCTGAAAAAAAATTCAAGAAAATTGATGAGACATTTTCTAAAACCAAAGTTGAAAGGCTGAAAGATTTAATTTTGTTTCTAACAGAGAACGAAAATTATCATATTTCATTTCATAATATTTGGATGTTGGTATTAACAACGTTGGATGGCAATTTAGATGTTGGTATTAACAATGTTGGATGGCAATTTAGATGTTGGTATTAACAATGTTGGATGGCAATTTAGATGTTGGTATTAAGAATGTTGGATGGCAATTTAGATGTTGGTATTAACAATGTTGGATGGCAATTTAGATGTTGGTATTAATAATGTTGGTATTAACTTATATTATTTATTACAATTTATTACGGGCAACTGCAAATTTATTTACAATTTTTATTCTCACTTACTGGTAACATTTGAGAGTGAGCTTCCTTAGTAATTGATGATAATTTACGTAAGTTCTTTCTTATCCCAAAATCAATTTATGTAACGGATGTCGCCTAGCATCTTGCTTTCTTCAAAATGGCTGTTGTTAAAAGGCGAAGGTTACTTTATGATTTCGCTTACTGGTTAATTATGACAAGAAGATGATTCGCTCTTAACAATTCACTAGCGAAACGTTATAGAGAATTTAATTTGCTATAGATTACGTTTATAAATCTGAAAAAAAAAAAAAAAAAAAAAAAAAAAGAACTGCATGTTACTAAAAAACGGCCAACTATAAAACTTATTTCAAAGTATTGCGCTTAGCAAACAAGGCATTTATGTTAACGCATCAGTTATGTTGAATATAAAATATTATTCTATATTGTATTTTTCACAAGATTTTGTTTTTTATATTAAATTTATGACCAAGAATCGCCATAAATATACGATTATGTATTTATTGATTCTGCTGTTCTTTAAAGTATCGCAGCCCCAAACGAACAAAAATGCCATTATCCATGAATGATATTATAATAATCCTAAAATACTTGACGACTGTTGTTAAACAAAATGCATACAAAATTATTTGAAACTACCATTATTTTTGCATAGCTTGTCAAATGTGATGTTAATGCTATGGTGTGATGAAAATAATATATCCGTTTCTCACCAAAAACTATATGCGTGCACAGGAAAGTTAGCTTTTCGATGAAAAAAAAAAGGTAAATATCGGATATCCCTTATATTTTAACTTTATAAAAAGCTTAGTTTTTCATCAAAAGTACAACAGTCGTGCTAGCAAATTTCCGAAACTGATTGCTAGAAGATTGTGGCAAATTCAGATTGCCTGAATGCCAGATTGCCTGATAAAGGATTTTTGGAAGGATGAGGATCGTTCTTACTCATGGGAAGAATCCCAAAGCTCCATCGACCACTGAATGAAAAGGTAGACATACATGTATGTTTTGGATCATACTTCTATATCATAAGCCTTATCCCAAGAATTCGATATACGTATATCATAGCAACTAGCCTCTGAATATCCTATTTGCCACCGTCTGTAGCAATAGGCTATTTTTAAAAGTTAACATTGATTCTGCTACCTTTAGCTAATGTCTCCTATGCTGTAGGGATGACCAGAAGTTTTCGAATGAAGGACGATGGTGTGCAAAATTGATTTTACGTAATTTGTTTATCTTTTATTCAAAAGTATTTTTCTATCATAACGTCGAGAATATGGAAAGTTAACGGGTAAAAAAAATTAAAATTTAAAACTGCTAATTCAAGTAACAGTAACACATTTACGTGATATTAATTAGCTATATAATTTTTGTATTATATATATTTATTTTTTCCCTTTTCAGCCTTTTTGATGGTTACAGAGAATGTACTAAAGTAGCCGTTAGAGAGAAATGCAGTGAAGAAGCGGCAAATCTTGGAGAACACATCGTGACGCAAGCTGGTGGACCTTTGGTTGAATTACACTGCTCGAATTTCAAACACAATTCTAAAGATTGCCAAGCCTATGCTTACAGTGCTGCTTACAGTTACGCCTCTTCTGTCATGTGTTTGTATCCACATCATCAGTTCTTTCTTTTGTCTGTTCTTTTTCTGTCAATATTTTACTCCTACTTGTCTAATCGATAGTAGATTAAAAGCAGTCTGGACTCATTCTTTCTCTTTATTCGGAATAACAAACCCGTAAGTTCAGGTTGTGATAATGATTGCCTACTCCTTCTCAAAGAATGAAAGAAACTGGAACCAACATATCGGGGATAGAGATTTTATCATTTCTGTCTCATCATTTTATATCTAGTTTGTTCTTGTTTGGGAAGGTAATGGGAGACTAGCTGACATTAAGATACTGTATACATAATATATCGATATCATTTACACTTAATAAAGATATATATACTATTTAAAATAGCAGTTTGTATGGAAATTTCAATCTTGTTTTCCAATTAAAATGACACCAACTATCTGAGTTCTTATTTATACGGGTAGTATACCCCTGATTATGTTAATTTTGAAATTAAACTTTTTTTTAATATATAGGCATTAAAATTTAATTAAAATGCAAGAAGACAATCAGAAATTTAATTAATGGGCGCAGTTAATAATATAAGTATTAACATTGCTGTTAATCACATGACAAATACTTATTTTGTACTAAAATTGCGAAAAATTATCGAAATTAATTATATTTAGCATTATAATTTCCTTTTCGTTAAGGAGATATTTAAAAAAATTAACAAATGGTAAGTTAAATAATTCTGAACTCCTTTTCTTTTTACTGTTATCATTGTGTTTCAATTCATTAATTACACAAAAATGGATTATTAGAGCGGTTTTAGAATTCTTAATTTTCCTTATTTTATCTATATTTTATTTATTTTTTTATTATATTTTCCCTCTCCCTTTTTCATTTTTCCCCAAAAACCTATAAAAATCGAATTTTTCATTTATCCTTCAAAAAATGTATCATGCAAGGAATTTAATTGAAAACTGCTCGTGATTTGCAGTGGTGAATTTTAATTATAAAGCAATTTTTCGATTTAAATGCAATAAAACTCATGCTACATATGAAGAACGTAACCAACGTTCAAGTAATTTGGAAAGAGTATTAAATCATTACGTTTAGAAAATTACACTGTATTTGGCCGCCATATATATTTTGCACGTGTAAAATTGTTCCAATTATATACGTTATGTTGATTCTCGTACAATATTTTATTTCCTCTTCGTTTTATTGTTTACTTTCATAATTAGGTTTCAATTTACAAATAACCTATCTTCTTTGGCATGTAAAGAACTGCCTATATTTTGATGAATTGTTAGATATTAAAAACCTGAGCGGATATATTTCTTATATAAGAAAATAAAAAAGATTTTGTTGGTTTTTTTTGCTAAAGTGTTAAAGATATTGTTTTTGTTTTGTGTTTTGATACATGTTTAAAACATTCCTTTTCCTAAAAGTATATAAGTATTAAAGTTGCAAAAATAGTAACATTAAAATTAAATATTTATAAACTCTTTGCAATCGGATTAGAGATATTCTAATACAAACCATTTATTCTTCTTTTATAATATTCTTAATGCATTTGCTTCTACAGGGAAAAAAAGAAAGATTTTTCAAGTGAAATAGTAATTAATTGCAAATTTTCTACCTTTAAATTTATAAACCGTACAACAGAAATTTGATTTGGTGTTTGTTGATAAGCTTTTTGACAAGCTCACTTGAAAGTATCCATGACATTTTTTTAGTTTCTTTCAATTCTGCTCAAAGAAGAGTAGGCAAAAGAGTATCACTTAAGACGGGAACAATTCTGGTTTTTGTATCAAAAAGCATTTTGATGTATTGTATGATGACGAGATTTTTTTCACGTTAAGGATACATTCGGCATCTATCTCCTCACGTAAAGAAAACTATTCATTTGTGTGTTGTGTCTTTTGAATCGCAAGTGGAAATCTGCGGGTATCTTAAAGTGGTGCTATCAAAGGTGGATATATTACAGGTGTATCATTTAAGAACTTTTAATTACTTGTTATTGTTTGATTGATAACCAGAACAAAATGCTGCCTGATAATAACCTCTCGCGACTTTTATATGAAGAATTTGCAGAATTAAAATATAATTTCAGTATTTTGAGTCCACTTGCTAATTATAAACCTTATATTTTCTTGTCTGTAAGACGTAGGTTAATCTGGAACTTCTGAGAAATAGTTTAACTGTGAATACGTTTAATTTTTTGCCATTCAAGCGAGTTTACGATGAACCTATGACAAACCTGTTACAGGTTGCTCTCAAATGTGTAATTTGTTATTTAAATTAGGAAAAGAATGGCATATCACAAGGAACAAAAGTGTATGAATGAATGGTATCTCCGGAGGCAAACAAGCAACATTTTCAAAAAGTACTGTTGTATTTAGTACGATATATTCTGTTTAAACAGCTGTTAAATTTGTGTGATTTCTCTCGGTTTCTTGAAAAGAAATCGTTCACTTTTTATTATTTGTAAAGCTGATCTTTTAAATGCTGTGTCCTTATCCGTGTATATGTTAACAATTCGCATTGTTTATCATTTACTGCTGTAAAACTTTTAATAAAACACAACACTAGTTTTTAGTAAATCTGTCATTATTGTAGTAAGTTTGTTTTCTACCGTTATTTCATCTGTAATTTGATACTTATAGATTTAAGAGCATAGATTTCCATATCATTGAGTGAAAGCGTTCTATGGGCTATTGAAGTAAAATATTTTGAATACACTTTTATATATATTCACTTTCAAATGCTTATACTTTCTGAATTTGAATTTCCAATTCGCAATGATATGTTTATTTTCTATGGAAGAAAATGCTTTCTGATATTTAAAAGAAAGTTGTAAATATTTTAATGTACATTAATGTGAGTTTATTAATAATTTATGCTGATTTTGGTGTTTGAGGCAAGATATATTTATTTCTGGAATACTGTATACAATTATTTGCAACATTTAAATGTGTGTATGCATTAAAAGCAAGAAATCTATATATGCTTATTTATATAAATTTACGTAACATTATTATTACTTCAGTTTCTTTCAATTTTTATTTTCTTTGAAAATCATTTGTATCTTGATAAAAATTGAGTTTATAATTATCAATGGATTTTCAATAAAAATTTAATATTTCATCTTCTGTGTTATTACATTATTTTTTTGTATCGCATTTAACTAATACATAGAAAGAAAAACGCACATGCCATCTTGATAGAACTAACCGTTTGGAAATTATTCACGCTTTCACGAATATACTGCAAAATAGTATTTTATCTGATTTCTTTGATTATGGCACAGCACTCGAGGGCTGTCTGCTTAAAAGGAGGATTGCATTCGTAGATGAGTTTCTATGAGGAACTGGCTAGTATACACGTTACAGATTTGGAAAATCACGAAAACACCCATGTAGCCAGCCCGTTCGCCTGGATTTGAAACCTGGACCAAATTACCAGTTTTCAGACTGCACGAAGAATATCGATTCAAAATTTGATATGCATTTCGTTGATATTTTGTAAATAGCATATTATTCATGGAAAAATAAATGATTCCAGTAAAAATAAATTTTTGTTTTTATTAAAACTGGAAATCTCATTTCTGGATTTCAAAGATTAAGAATTAAGAAGTAATTATTTAGTGATCTTCAATATTTCAACAACAAAAGTTGTCTATTAATTAACTTTCTATTAATTTTGAATACTTTATTTCCTCGCGTATTTTCCCCCCTAACATTTTATTTCCGCGTTCTAAAAGTTTAAAAAATGATTCGCGTAATTTTCCCTCGCCTTATTGTGTACACAGAACGAGATGCTCTTAAATTTTAAAATGGTACTAATACAAGTATCGGCAAATGATAACGAAGCACATGCAAACTTATATTCAGCCTACGATTTCGCTGAGTTAGCAGCACACTCACCTCCTGTAGTTATTTAATGATGCCCATGGAGGTCTAAGAAGTATCAGAGACTACAGTGAGAACAGGCGAGAGTCTATTTACAGGGAAGTAGAAATGAAACTGCTGTGTTCGATATTATGATGTTAATATTACTATGTATTCTTAGTGGAATGTAAGTCGTTTCTTTTAAAGAAATAATGAGATATTTACGTTTAGTTAATTTACGGTTACTTTTCATTTTTTAATGTTCTTTTTGTATCTGCAAAAAAATCTTATTTGGAAACAAATTATTTGCATCATTTCCCCCTCTCCATTTTCCAAAGAAAAAATTGGTGAAAAAAGGAATGAAAATATTCGAGGAAGTACGGTATTCCACCTTTGGAAGATAGGTGGCGCTGATATGTTTATACACTGCTGGCCATCAAAATTGCAACACCGAGAAGGCATCATCTGACGAACGTCAAAATCACATGAACGGAAGAAGTTCGGATATGAAAAAGATTGCTGTTTCAGCGCATTTAGACGAAGCAGGAGGGAGAAACGACATCTAAAGCACTGCATAAAAGAAAAGTTGTGTAGTGGATTTGTCATTCGGAATGTACTTTGAAAGGTTTGTGTTTGCTCAGAATATCGCATTATGCGTCGAATAAGATGAGGAAATGCTTACCAGGAGGTTTCGAAATTCGATACAGGAAGGAACGTTGCCTATCGAAAGTGTAGATTATCGTTCCGTGATATGGCCGGTCGCATTGGTCGATATCCAACCACTCTCATGCGAATATGGAATCAATGGATTGTTGAGGGTCATATTGAGAGGCATGCAGGGTCTGAAGGCCCTCCCATGACTAATGCTAGAGAGGGCAGACATATTGCGAGGTCAGCCTGCAAAACCGTATGAACACATCACGGACCATTAGTCAGGAAATGGGCATGGTTGAACACACCCAGTATCAGCTCGTAAGGAGTGTCGACATTTGCAGCAGCTTGGTCTATCTGCAGGATGACCTTACTTCGGCTTCCCTTGACAACTCAGCATAGAGAGAGACGGCGACTCTGGTGCGTCAAACGACAAAGCTGGGTACAGGAGTGACACTATTATCAGATATTGCACGTATAACCAGTCCTGGTTATACGTGCAATATTCTGATGGCCGTATACGTGTCTGGAGTACCGAGAAGACCGCACGTCGCCTGCTTGCATTCGATATCGGAATAGAGACCTTGCACCTGGTGTGATGGTTTGCGCAGATATTGGGTACACGACACGCACATCTCTAGTTCGGATCGACGGTAATTTGAACGCAGATGGATACATCGTACGTCCATTGATTGTGCCCCATCTTCGACGATCCGAAACGCCATGTTAGAACAAGATAATGCAAGACCACATGTTGCACATCGTATTCTGACCTGCCTCGATACACATGTTATTCGATTGCTGCCCTGGCATGCACGGTCTCCAGATCTGTCACTTACTGAAAACGTCTGGAGATGGGTTGCTGAGAGACTGGTTCGTCTCCCCTCTTCAGCTAATACGGTTGTTGATGTGTGGCATGGACTTGAGGCAGCATGGATTGAATTGCCCATGTCTTTCATCCAACACCATTTTGACTCCATGCCTAATGGGGGTAAGGCCATTTTAGATGCCAAGCTCGGCAGCTGTATCCACTAATTTCGCACTCCTGTAAACCCCCAAAATGCTTACAAATTTAATCATTTTTGTCTTCATGCCGTACTTTTTGCGTGCACTAATATCTTTTCTTCCTGGTGTTGCAATTCTAATAGCCAGCTGTGTATATAGGTTGTTATAGTGGATTTCTACTGCTCTAGAAATGAAACTACGCTAGCGCTTGCGATGAAAAATGGAAGATCGAGAATGGGATTGTAGCAGGTTAATTGGTAAGTACTGCCCAGCTTAGTAGAAACCCAGTACAATCACGTATGTGTCAAGATATTTGTTGAATTCTTGAAACATCAACGTTATAAAATGAGCATGTGTAAAATACTTGGTAAGATATTTCATGGCCCCTGCTAAATGCGGAAAATATATAAATATGCTATGTTTCGTTAATAAAATGTTGTTTTGTGCAGTTAAATTAATTACCTTGGATTATAATTTACACTGATGATCATTCCCATCAATTCAAGTGTTCTATGAATTTTGACTTACGATGCTCTCCCATAGAAACATGAAATGACTTGAGCTATTACATACGGTAATAGCTTTTTTAAATTTATGATAAATATTTATAGAAATTGCACAAATTTACGAAAGTCATCGAATATTTCAGATTACTTCAATTAAATACTTGAAATGCGTTCATTATAAATGCTCTTATACACACACACAAACACGAACAAACGTATACATCTATGTATACGTTATGTATTCTGTGAATATCTTACGATTTAGAAAACAGCTGCGTAGATACAAAATATGTCACAACGGAGAAGGAAAAAGGTTACGTGACTAAAAATAACAAGATACAATTTATCTCTGGACACTTAATTCTTGCAGTACTTATTCTCATATTTGGGGGCGATATGCACCCACAATTTATAACATAGAATATCTTAAAAAATGCATGAAGCGAAAAATGAGTAGCGCACAGCGAGAGGAAGTCAAGAAAGTGGATGGGCATTTCAGGAAAAAGGTATTTATAGAGTTGGTTACTTTGTTTAAATTCTCAACCATGATTAGGTAATAAAAATTCGCAATGCTACCTTAATAATGTAATGCAGATTGATTTTTAGATGACGCGATTTAAATATCTGTATTAGTATGTTTAAGACAGGAAGGGACGTATCCAAATAAATATGAAGAATTAAAAGGCCTATAGCTAAATTAAAGTTAGTAGTTTACCTTCATACTTTACATCTCACATATTCCTTCCGTCAGAGAGAAGAATGTCTGACGGTCGAAAAGTCTTTTTAGAAAAAACGATTAGAGCGATAGCAAATGAAAATAAATTTTGCTACAAAAGAACACATAAAAATATAATTTGGAAGTATTTATAAAAATATTGTATAATATCTAAACTAAATGTGTATTGGAATTTTTCTTAAAGCTATAAGAAATTTTCAGATCTTTCTTTACCTTTGCAAAAATATGTTTAATAAAATAAAATACGCTTAGCATATTGCATGTCAATAAACGGAAATAAAATCAAGTAAATTACAAAAAAAAATCAGTTAAGTAATAAAGAAGTAATAATTTTATCTATATTCGGCTTTGAAAAAAAAAACCGTAAAACCCAGTAATCCAGGACTGTTTGAGTATCCAGCTCAGTTTACGCCCCTATTAGTCCGGATTCTTGGAGTTTTAATGTACTTCATACAGTTATTTAATGTCATATCTTTTATGTTATTACTATTGTTGTGGGTGACAGGTAACTGCTGGGAATAGGTTTTTTCCTCTGGCATATATTTATTTAAAAAATAATTATGTAATAAGCATTTTAGCTTAAATACATTGCTCCAATTACTAGGAGAGTGAATAGAATTCTTGCTTTCATTAAACAGCTAAACTAACATCTCTTTTTCAGTAATGTCATAATTTTTTTCTATAAATATAAGTGCATTTGAAAGCAATTATTATTAAAACTTTTTAAGGTTTCTAATTTATTTAATATTAAATATTATAATATTTAATTGGGTGTAAAATAATTTTTGTATCCCCTTGCTCCCTGAGGCTAACTCCAGTGTTTAAAAAACTTAGAAAAATTTTTGTTTTATTTTCTAAGTATGAAAATAATTATATAAAATTGTGTTTGAAATTTTTATGAGATACTTTTCCTCCTGCTTTTTTTTGTTTCGTTTATTAAATTCTCTAACAACATCATATTTTGTAAGGCAGAGGATTTAAAATAACACATGAAATCTAGAAATGCATTTCTTTGTAAAATAAAAGAAATTTTTTGCTCTAATTTATAATGTTCGATGCTAGATTGTATATTTTGCACACAGTATAAGGTGCTTGCTTTTGATCTGGTGACTTGTTTATAAAGACTTTAGACTTTTACATAAAGACTTTCCTTTACATATCAAGTTTCCAAAGTTTACATTAATTGATGCAATGTTTCAGAATGAAACCTATTATCTGGTCAGAAGTAATTGAAGATGACAGGAGTTTTCTCAAAAGCAACAACTGTCAACTTCTGTACTCTCGGAAAGCAACTTGTGTCTCGGGCCCTGGACCCGCTCAGTAATTTATGCATAACAAATATTTAGGACTAGT